TCCCATAATAACATCTGACATCTTCTGTCTAGAGCTCTATTTTATTATCAAGATTAACTCTAAAGGTAGTCGGAGAGGTTCTGATATCCATCTACTATATGTCACTCCTACCCAGAAGTTGATCAGCTCTTCTGTCGCAATACTCCATATAGTCTTTTGTAGTCGTTCTTCATATGTCTGATATTCTAATAAGACTCTCCAGACATAAATAACCCCAGTGTCAGATGTTAAGTGCTAAACTCTATGGTACATAGGCCTAGGCATACAGACATAGATGTATCAGATTTCTTGTCAGTAAAAGTATTAAAATCTATGTGTATAGATCAGCATTTCTCGTGTTGGGGAAAGCGGAATGAGAATATATGGTGTATGTTGAAATGGCAGGGGGCGACTAGGGGGGATTAGTGTCAGAAGTAGTCGTAGGAGGAGTAGAAGCAGGAGGAGGTGTAGTTGTAGGAGGAGGAGGAGTAGTAGGAGGAGGAGGAGTAGTAGTAGGAGTAGTAGGAGGAGGAGTAGTAGTAGTAGTAGTAGTAGGAGTAGTTTTATAGCAGTTGTAGTATTGGTACTGCATCAATACTAAAATGATACTACATAATGGTAGTAGTAATAATTTAAGTATGAATGCAGCAGCAGTATTGGATGTAGTAGTAGTTTAGATTTATTGGATGTAGTAGTAGTAGTTTAGGATTATTGCTCAATATATATATATATATATATATATATATATATATATATATATTGACAGACCGTAATTAAAAGGAAAAAACAGGGGAAATATTAAAAAGCCAGTTCGTCTCAATAAAGTCAACAGCATCTGTTTTGACCTTTGAATCATTTTTCTACATTTAACTAGCGAGTCATTTTTAAGTGCATTTTCTTCTCTTCGGGCCGCGTCTCAACGTGAATAGCGACATTCTTCAACGTTTTCCACAGTTAAAACCGGACAAACGTCGGGGGGAGAATCGCTGAGCAAACCAGCCGCCCTGATGAAGGAACTCAAACATGGAGGAAGACAAAGAGAACCGCGGCCGGTTCAAACAGGCGCAGACGGGAACCGGTGAAACCAGTGAGGGACGGCGCGTGAAAGGAGACACTTGAGGACACGTTAGTCCCAGTGTCCCCCTAAAGGCCTTGAGCCCCGAAGCACTGATCAATGTGCAGGATCATGGCGGATGACTGATGACTCCTGGTGGAGTCACAGGAGAAGACACCAGGACACATCGCGCTCTAGAAAACTTTAATATGTGTCTCTTCTGTTTTAGAATAACGATGAGCTAATTCAGGAAGCCTGAAGTCTCATCTGTTAATCTACACCTCACAGCCTTTTCCATCCTTCTCATCTTCACGTCTCACTCTGACACGAGTTGTTGCTGCCTCGAAAATTCGAGTTTTGCATGTGAAGCTTCGTTGTAATGTCGAAGGCAAACTAAGAAGTCAGCCTCAAACGTGCAGCAGGTCCGTCTTTTCTGTTTGTGGGTTTTTAACTGTCGGGGTGCACAGCGCGTCACACAAATGCCCGTGGGAACATCCGGCGATGCAGAGATGTCGGTCAGTAAAAGCTGTGGCTGCAGAACGGACCACTTCCCGTCTCTGAAGGGACGCGGCAGCCGCACGCCGCCTCGAGGAGGCAGGAAGTGACCCTTTCTGTTCTCTCCGTCCGGCAGGTCAAAGACGCGTTTGGGGTGAACGATGTGGCAAACGGGGTCCACGCACGACAACGCGCGACAACTTCTCACACAATCGAATGCAGCTGATGCGAAAATAAGAACTAAGTTGCGCGTTTACATATTTATAAGGTGATCAGTTGTTTTTAACGTGACTCTTCAGTAACAGACGTATTTTAACATACTCTTAATTTGTTTGTTTGCTTGTCCTGTTGTAAAGGTCTAAGAGGCTTCATGTGTGCTCTTTATCAGAATGAGAAGGTAAGCACGCCACAGAATACCTGTGTTAGGGATCCATCAAATGTAGGAACCACATTAATTTAAAACTGGTGGAAGAGGTTATGCTTGTTTTTGGAGATGTGATGTTCAGGGAGATGATCGGGGTTGAACTAACAAATGAGGAGGTTGTAAAGCGGAGCTTTGCTGAACAGGTCCTTACACGTTCAACACTGCACAGCGTTTCCTTAAATGACCTCTGCATGAAAAAGCCTCTCTGGAAATAGTCACTCGGCGCCGAAGGCTGTTGAATGTGGTTTACTGGTTTACTGCGGTAATTAGAAACTGCTCAGTTAGTTGTGGTTGGCAAAACAAAACAAGTTTAAACAGTTTTTTTTAAAGCCTCCGTTGCAGTTTTTCTGAACCAGGAGCTCGGTGCTTCGGGGCCTTGAAGGTCTTTTTCTCCAGATCTTCAGACTTCTGCCGCCAGGCCTCATTGTTGGCGGTGCGTTCGGCACGTTTAATAACCGTGTGTACTGTGGACTCGGTGAGCCTCAGAGACAGACCCCTCGGGTTCGGGTCTGAGAGCTTTGCTTCGTACTCACAAACCATCCGATCGAAGTGCGGCTTCTTCTCCTCCAGAAGTGTCACAGTTCAGCTCGACACCCTCCTCACAGTCCAACTGCCCGTCCCTGTTTAACCCGCCGGCCCGACTCCCGGTGAACCTACCCGCCCTTTGTCTTACCGTTACTCGGCCTGCTGTTTGCGATAAAAGGTCAAAAGATCGTGCGAGTGCATTTTGGGTCCAAACACGAACCGTTACGAGAATGGTGGTTTCTGATTGCTGATCCTGGGTCTGGCTTCTCAATTCCAGATTCCCTTGTTTTATCATGTCACCACCACAACAGCTTTTAAAGTTATACTCTTATTATAGTGGTACCTTGTGTGCAACCGGTACGGTTAGAATACGATTGTGTGATCAACGGGTATTTGAATATCTTTCATGTAGCTTTTTTAGGGGCTTTCCTTAATCTCCGGACATGCTGGTATTATAAAGGGGACAGTTCGACCGGAGAACACCGCTGTTGGTTTTCGGGGGTGGTTCGTGCTTTTTGCTGGACGGCGATGCAGAAGCTGTAGATTAAGATCTCCGGACTTTTGTCACATTTGTCTCCGTTTTATTATTTTATTATCGCTGTTCTGAAGTAAATAAGCTTTGCTGAACAGGTCGGCACGCGTTCAACACTGCACAGCGTTTCCTTTAATGACTTCTGCATGAAAGCCTCTCTGGAAATAGTCACTCGGCGCCGAAGGCTGTTGAATGTGGTTTCTCAACATGTTTAGCGAGTGGTCAACTGTCTCTCACATCAATAAGCACAAAGTGTCCTTCAGTCAGAGGGAACTTCTCAAGGCAGCGAGGAAACGATAGAAGATAAATACTTTCATCTGTTCTCTGAAACGGTCTGTAACTTTCGTTCTTTACTTCAACATTTGTTTCAGTACATGAAAGAATAAAATGTGTCATTTTATGCGTTATAACAGAAAAATGATCGCAATCGTCGGGATCTTTGCGGCTCTGGCAACAACATCTCTGGCAAAAGGTGAATTTGAGTGTTAAAGTATATTAGTGCATGTAACTCTTTACAGAGTATACACAACATTTAATTGCTAATGAATAACATATTTATTCAATTGTAGCCAAAATCATACATGTCAAAATAATCCAATTATAATTGTTCTTACCTGTTATTTACTGCATTCCACTGTTTTTCTAAAGGCTCCATTGAATGCAGTTTTTCTGAACCAGGAGCTCGGTGCTTCGGAGTCACGGGACAGCGGCTCATTTTTCATCTGGGAAACACATCAAATACAGATATTAGGCTGATTAAGGACAACATTCGTATTTTAAAAATATTTAAACATCAGATTGTGAATTCAAATAAAGAATACGTGACTGAACTCTTGGCCAACGGAACGGTGTCACTCGGCAGAGCCGGAAGGAGCCACTCTGGAGATTACCTGCTGGAGGAGTTCGGATCTGATGGCGTTTGTGTGAA